TCCGCACCTCTCCTCTCCTCTCCTCTCCGCACCTCTCCTCTCCTCTCCTCTCCTCTCCTCTCCTCTCCTCACCTCACCTCTCCTCTCCTCTTCTCGTTGCTTTTTCTCCTACCTATCGGGACGCATCGCCTGCATGCCATGGGGCTCACCTCATTTTTTTAACTTTTACAGTTTGCTTATAACATTTTGTTTGTTTTACAGATTCTTCCCTTTTTTCGCGTTCCCTCCAATGGCCCGTCCATTGTGCATAGGAATGCAGGAGGGAGGGTGTAAAGACGTGTACATCTGAACAACATGGCGGATACAGTAGCGATACAAGAGAAGAGATACAAGTGATCTAAGCGCTTCTTGTAAGTTCTTGCAAGTCAGACGTCAGTCTTGCCCTTCATCACTCCCAGTTAGTCGTCCGATTTTTCTAGAGGGCACCGCAGCAATGTCCGCGTCAGAGTTTCGGAAGAAGTCCAATCAAAGACGGCAAGTCCTGATAGAGAATCTGGTTGAGAGCATCACAGGCATTGCCAGAAACACTCCAAACTTCCGCAAAGCAGTGAAGTTCTCCATTGAAAACATCGACGACCACCAATTCCTTTCAACCATGCCGAGCGTTGTCGATCGTCAGTACAAGAACCTGTTAGATAAGCTGGAGTTCCACTCACAGATCGGAAAGTTGAACGCCCTGCAGCACGCTGTAACGAGGCTGCGAGGCATCCAAGACGTGACCAAGGATCAGGACAGGGAGGATTTCGTTTACTCGTGCATGAGGTTCCTGTATCATCTGTCCGACAGGGTTCTCGATTACAACATAGACAACGAGAGAGCGATCTCGCACCATCGACAGCTGCAGTTCGTTGAGTCAGTCAGCGCCCCGGATGTACACGACCTGGTGAGCAGCTTGCGCAGCATCAACGAAGAGTTTGCTGGGGACTCTGGGGCAGAGAGTGAAGGCACGCTGTCTGACTGGAGCGATGAGGAAGAAACTGTGTCAGGGGAGAAATCAGGTGAAACTCTGCAGAAGGAAACAACTCCGATGGACGAGCGGGACGAGTGCGAACAGGTTGATACAACGAGTGAGGTGAATAGGATGTCGACGGTCATCGGAATGGAAAGGAAACATGTGGGAATGAGCAAGCCTGTCGACATGGACCCATCGCTCGGGTTCAAACTTCCGAGATACGTCTCCGCTCCACCCAACGTTCCCCTGATCCAGACAAACCTCGCCATAGCGTGCGCAGAGATGGATGAAGGACGAGATAGTCTGAGTTTGTGGAGGTCGAAATATTTGATCTCCCATGAGCAGACAGTTGTTCAACAAGTCCTGCAGATGCTTGCAGGGCGAACAGGATCGTTGTTCACATGGCAGGGATGCACCTGTGGATTGAAAGATGTTCATGTTGGCTCGAACGATCTCCGAAGTTTCCGTGACAGGTGTGATGGATTCCTCCAGTGCCAGCCAGTCACCCTCACTCACCTATCACCGGAGTCTTTGAGCAGCATTCTTGGGAAGATGATGAAGATTTCGACCAAGCTTGAGAGATTGAGGAGGTTCTCACGTCAGTACCTCTCCCCAGATTCAGGGAAGACTCTCACACAGCAAGCCTTCGGGCTCAGTGTGAGTGAAACCCTTGAATCCTTTGACGAGATCGTCAACGGTCTCATTCGAACTTCGCATTCTGAAAGGCCGACGTTGCAAGTGGAAGGATCTCATACGTCGCTGACGCTCATCGTAGTTGAGAGACTGATCGATTCCAAAGTCAAGGAGGTGGACTTGTTGACTTTCCTAGCTGGCGGAGTGTCACAGCGGGAGGTCCCTTCTCCCTCGCACAGCACCAAGAGGATTCTGGACTTTCTCTTCGACGAGGCTTCTATGACCCGCATGCTGCCCGACGAGGGTTGTTACGACCTGCTCCATGGGATCTTTACAGCTACCCTGAGGCCATACCTCCACATCCTTGACCACTGGCTGGCGGAGGGGAGTTTGGAAAACGACACTTGCAATGAGTTTTTCATCCAGGACGTCCAAGTAGAGCAGGAGGCTGGTCTGAGTGATCAGGTGCAGCCGAGAACGAGTCAGCCCTCCGTCTCCCGCTACTGGCAGATGTTTGCGATCAGGCAGGGAGGAGACATTGTGGATGAGGGGAAGATAAGGAGTAGCAGCGTTGGCACCATAACGATCTCACGGGAATCTAACTCTTTGGATGACTTTTACACGGGAATGACAATCACTGTCACTGGAAAGAACGGAAAGTTACTCTCAGCCATTGTCAAGGGATACATCGGAGCGAAGCGAAGAGTCCTCGTTGATCTAGAAGACACGGTGAAGGAAGACTGCCTCTACGTTGTCACAACAGTCGTTCCAGCTTTCTTCCGACCCTTGTGTTCGCGAATCCTCTCAGCTGGGAAGTCTGTGAATGTGTTGCTGTATGATGGAGACACCAAGAGGGTTATACGACAGGTCTTGACAAGTCAGAGGTCAATCCTGTCAACGTTTGAGCAGAGGATGAAATTTCGCAACCGGAGGTTGAGGATAGGTCAAGGAGTCGTCCAAGATTCGTCTTCTGCTTGCAGTGCCAAGTCCACTCCTGTCAAGAGCCGTCCGACAGCAGATTATCCCTCGGACTTGGCGGAAAGAGGAGGTGGAGGTCTGGTGCAGCTGAGTTGGGTCTTCCAGCAAATTCATGCCAGCACGACTTCTTCGACGGAGAGAGTCGATGATTTGTTTCATGTTCATTTACCCCTCAATGACGACATGTCATGTCAAGTCTCCTTCCCTGACAGTGCTGATTGCTCCTTTTCCGACCTTCCTCCTTCATCGCTGAGGCACTTCCTGGCGTCCGCTGACGACGAGGAGGATGAGGAGATCTCCGAGGACTTGGAGTCTTCCGTCCTACCGTTCGAGAAGCTGATGGAGGAGGCGCTGCTGAAAGATCTGGAGAGGAGAGTGGAGGACTTGAACGAGGAGCTTGTCAAGTATCTCGTCAACAAGTTCGACCTCATCGCTCATCTCAACGTTCTAAGGAGGGTCTACTTCATGGCGGCGGGAGATGTCCTGCATGAGTTCGCCATGCACATCTTTCAGAAGCTGGACAGGAACGAGCCCTGGAACGACCCGCACACCCTCAACTCGCTCCTCCAATCTTCTCTCCCTCCCTCCAAGAGCATAACCTATGGCACGATCTCAGCTCAGATCGACGCAGCGCAGGATCCGCGCAAGAGGAAGTCTGCATCGGACGCGTCCATTTTCGCCCTCGACGGGCTCTACATCTCGTACTCGGTGGAATGGCCCCTCAACCTCATCGTCAACGAGCAGAGTCTCAAGACGTACAACAACATCCTGATCTTCCTCATGCAGATCAAGAGAGCCAAGATCGCTCTCAACGCAGACACGCACGCTGACAAGAACGCCATCGTCAAGGATAGTGAGAGCGAGTGGGAGATGGAAGAGTTGCAGACTCGGGACAGGATAGGGCAAGACGCTTCCTCTGCCGAGCGCTATGGGTCGCCCAACACCAAGTATCTGCTGTTGAGAGCTGAGCTGAGACATGTCGTCAACAACCTTGAGAACTACATCATGACTCAGGTGACTTGAGCTCCCTGACGGCTCATCTTGACCTCTTGGGTTGTAGATTCATGGGTCTGGCTCAGTCATGATGGAGAAGGAGATCAGGAAATCGACGAACCTTGATCAGAGTACTTCCCTTCCTCCTCTCCCTCTCCTTCCACCTCCCTCGCCCCCTTCCACTCCCCTCCTCTCCTTCCCGCTTCTTCTGTCTCTTCCCCCTCCCTCCTCCCACTCCTCTCGCTGCCTCGTCTCCCTCCTTTCATTCCCGCTCCCTCTTGTACCCTCCTGTTCCCTCCTGTCATCCTCGCGCCCTCCTCTCCTCCTCTCTCCTTCAATTCCTTCTCTCTCACCGTACTCACCCTCCTCTCCCTCCCACTCCCTCCTCTCCCTCCCGCTGCCTCCAGCTTCCTCCTCTCTCCGCTTCTCTGACATCTCCTCAGTCCATTCGTTGCACCTTCGCTTCCTCAGCCGAATGCGCGATCGGTGAGCATCCCGAGACGGCAGCCATGGCGCCACTGACCCGCATCAGGTGCCTCCTCCATGAACGAGCTGCGGTCGTGGCAGACACAGCCCGGAAGGTGCTGGACCTGGCTCTGAACTTCAGCGTCTCCTATCCTCGATACAAGGTCCCTTCCTGCCCGGGAGACGCCGGGCTGACATCTGCTGCAGGCTAGCTTGCAGAAGGGAGAAGAGGACTGGGAAGAGATGCGGGAGGCAGAGGAGAGTCTCGACAGGGTCAGCAAGGACTTCCATCGCTGCACGAGGCTGCTGGTAGGAGGCAGGACGTCGTGACGGTGCTGGAGGACTGACATGGCGGCAGGTGGTCGTACTGAGCAAGATCGTGTCCCGCGGCTTCCATCCCCACCTCGAGGACCTGCTTGTGCGGCTGAGCTTTAACGATTACTTCGATGCCTCGGATAGCAGGAGGTGATGGCTGTGAATGAAGGGAAGAGTGTAAGATGTTGTGGTACACCCGACCAGAGGCTCGCACTGCACACCCTACGAGCACGAGCTCTAGAGTACCAAGCGAGTGTATAGCATGAAGGTCGTGACCTCCTTACACTGTCAGCTGTTCCATGAAGATGCTGATGAAGAAGCATTGAAAAACGTTGTTCGGGTAAGACACCTCGCACCATCACTGTAGCACAGAACTGCTCGACTGGAACTTGTCAGATTGAAAACAATAATGTAACTGGCAGATCTCTTGATTGATTGCACGGGGCCTTTGAAAGTTCAGTCTCAAGGAAAGTTACCTAGTTCGCCTCAGAGTATACATAGGAATATTGAGAGGACAGCAACTTCTCCTACTACTGAGATTAGGCTGACAATCGTGCGTGCAAGCCTCCCGTGTCGTTTAGCCCCTTGCATGGAGGTGTCGACAGGTCAGGGTAATACTCCTATGAATGGGGGGTGGGGTGGGTAAATAGGGTAGGGTAGATATTCGTCTGATGAGCACCGGTGGTCGATGGAATTGGGGAACGAATTATGTTGACGTCTCTAGCCAGTCAAAACTTTTAATCTCTTTCCAAAAACATTATATAGAGCACAATCTGAGATTATAATACTTTATATAACGAGGCAGCAGCGAATACTACCCAATAAGTTAGTGAGAATAGATGGGCAGAGATAACTTCGGTTGTCAGCAAGGGGCCAAATCGCGATCGAAAGCGAGTCTTTTCGATGATTTTGACCGGTTCTGCGAAGAGTCCATGGATGAAACCTATTTTTCCACAGGGGGGGTTTTGACTGTCATCACTTTCACCCTTTTTCGTGTCCATTTTCAGGCATGCGACCAGGGTGCACGGGAGGGTAGTCTTACAAGGACGGGTATGTTTGATAGCAAGTTGCAGGAAATCTTCTGGGTGGGTGATGGTTCCTTCCTGGTATGTTTGTATGGGTAGGGGTGGGTGGTATCCGCGAGGAGGGCAGAATGGGCACAAGTGGATACTGGGTGAGAAAGAAAGGAATGGAATTGAAGGGAGGAGAAGTAGAACAGCAGAGATACGAAGCTATGTGAGAAGATATTGCTGAATCATTGATGAATGTACATGACATACAACAGAAAACAAAGAGTACGAGCGGGAGAGTGAAAAAAATGGTTCGAAGTTGTTCGTTGCTGTCTTGAGCGATTTTTTCGAGTTGATGCAGAATAGGATTCCAGTCACAAGGAAAACACCAGGAAATGATTTCTTCTTCGTCTCTTGCCACTGAATGATCTCAATTGATGATTTCCTGACGCTTCCCTTGTTCTCAGGATTTGGTGCGAAACGAAATAACGTCGATTGTAACATGTCACACATGAACTTCGATCAGAGCAACATAGCATCGCCGGTCGAAGTCTTCCCTCCTCTTCTCCCTATTGTCTTGCTCTACTTGAGCGGTGCCGCCACTGTTCTTGTCAGGCCCTTGTATACAGCCTTTGCCTCCTTCTTCTCCAGCAATCTCGATACCCACCTCCTTCGCAGCATGTCGACCTGGCTGGACTCCTTGCTCCCTCCCCCTCGGTGCGTGTACTTCCTCCCTCTCCTGCTCTTCGAGCTTTGGGTACCCAAGGCTCCTTCCACCAGCGTCGTCGTGTGCTGGTGGCTCTGCATCCTGAGCTACATCGTGATGGGGATCAGCGAGCTTCATGGGTGTGTGGCGAGGTACAAGAAGGAGGAGGAGAAGCTGGCGGACGCTGTGGCAGCGGTGGAGGTAGCGAACCAGCACCTGGAGATCGTACACTCTCTGATCCCGGAGAGCGTACTGAGCAAGATGACATATGAGAGCGACATCAACAAGTTCATGGGGGCAGAGATCGCAGACTGCTCGATCCTCTTCTGCGCTCTGTCTCCTCAGGAGGTGCTTCACAACAACGAGCCGCTGGATCTCTTCAGCATGCTGGATGAGATCTTCCGCAGGTTTGACGAGGTGGTGGAGAAGCACGGCATGTACACCTGTCAGCACGTGTCTGAGTGGTACATCGTGACCTGCCCTCGGGCTGCGAACCCCTTCGACGAGCTGGAGCAGAGCTCTCCCTACCCCGTGGAGTACTGCGAGAGGATGGTGAAGCTGGCTCGAGAGCTGATCACCATCACCAACAGCTACAAGGTCCACGACTGCCCCCTAGCGCTTCAGGTGGGGATTCATCGAGGGCGAGCAGCTGGAGCTGTGGTGGGGTCGCACCGCGCCTACTACAGCGTGTACGGGGACACGACCAACACGGCGTCTCGGATGTGCAAGTACGCGGCTCCGAACACGATCTTGTGCACAGAAGCGTTCAGGGAGGGCTTCAAGGGCGGGCAGTGCGAGCTGAGGTTCCGGTCGATGGGGCTGAGGTCGATCAAGGGGAAGGGGAACATGCTGACGTTCGAGGTGGAGGAGGAGCAGGAGGAGAGCAAGGGTTTCCCGCTGCTGTCGCTGTGCAGCCGGAGGCAGGAGGACGACGGGAGGAGGTGGAGAGGGGGAGGGGACAAGATGCACCTGTCGCCGTCGCTGCAGCTGTCGCAGGCCAAGGACCACCTGATGAACTTCCTCACTCGCATCATTCCGCATGAGGTGCTGCTGCTGCTGCTGCCGATCAAGCACGTGAGGAGCATGGAGAGCGACAGGACGGGGCTGGACGGGAAGATGCGGCTGTCGCTGACTGTGATGGCGCTGGCGCAGACTCTGCTGATCATGGCGTACGTGTTCTTCCTGCTGGGGTACATGCGGAAGTTTCTTGACAGGTGCAACCGTCTCAAGGGCAGCGTGCTGGCGATGAACGTCGGGGGGGCGCTGGTGTGGATGCTGATGGCGAGACGAGTGAGCGGGGACGAGCTGTTTGCTGTGACGAGCGCAATCTTGCTCTTCATCTCCTCCCTGCTCTTCTCCAGCAGCGTGCGAGACATCGGGGCGGTGATGGGAACGGGGATGGGGATGCTGGCGCTGGTGAAGCTGGTTGGGGGAGGGCAGCATGCGAGCCTGGGAGCGGCGATGTCGTTAGGGTGGATCTGGGGAATGGCGAAGAGGAAGTTGTCGGCGCTGCAGTTCACGGAGCATGCTCGGATGCAGTACTACAAGCTGCGGAAGATCGAGGCGGACCTGCTGGAGAGTATCCTCAAGGAGATGCTGACGAAGCAGATCGCGGACAAGCTCCTTCGAGATCCGATCACGACACAGGGAGAGATGAAGACAGCGGTGATCCTGCAGCTGGACATCTGCAACTTCACCGACATGTCTCAGAGCACTTCTCCGATGAAGCTGGCCAAGTTCGTGCACGAGATGTTTGCTTTCTTCGACCAGCTCGTCGTCGAGCACAACCTCCTCAAGATCGACACCATCGGCGACGCCTACATCGTGGCGGGATGGCTGGAGGAAGGCAGCGACGTGCAGAGCAAGCGAAGGACGCGGGGGATCTGCCTGAAGCTGCTGACGTGCGCGCGGGAGATGATCGGGAAGTTCGCGAGGTGCAGGAAGAGCTCAGCATGGCCGTGCTCGTGCCGGATCGGGATGACGGTGGGGAAGGTGGCGGCGGGGGTGCTGGGGAGGAAGCAGACGCGTCTGCACCTGCTGGGGGAGGCGATGAGGGAGGTGTCGGTGCTGGAGCAGCGGGGGAGCGCGGGGAGCGTGCACGCTAGTGGAAGCTTCATGCACGCGGCAGGGCTGACGAAGGAGGAGTGGATGATCGGTGTGATTGGGGACAGCTGGAAGGAGGAGGAGGAGGAAGAGGGAGAGGAGGAGGGAGGGGGTAGGAGGAAGAAATCTTTTATGGAACCGATGGCAGGGGAGGAGAAGGCGGAGGCTCAACAGTGGAGTTACAGTCGTTACAACTGGGAGGAGGATCATCGGAAGAAGCTTGAGCTTTCGTTGATGAGCAGCTTTCTGCTGTTTCCCTTGGATCCTTTGGGAGAGCAGAAGATGAAGGAGAGGGTAGTCCTGAAGCAGACGGCTGAGGAGGAGAAACTATCTAGACAAAGGAGGCTACAGCGAGAAATCGATGCGGTGTTTCAAACCCAAAATTTTACCTGAAGCAAACGTTAAGAAAGGAGATTTAATCTTACTTTGTATGTATATTTGTAAATTTCTTGAATTGATGTGAGTGAGTTTTTTTTCATCATCATCTGCCATCTCCTTATTCTTAGTCTTCTTCATCATTGAGTTTTCCCTACAAGTTTACAAGAGTCACTTTTTCGCCTGTCAATCCAGCGAGCAGCGTTCTCCGATCCCTCAACTTCACCGTCTTGTTTCCCCGAGCAAGCAGGACAGGAAGGGAGAAGAGGACTGGGAAGAGATGAGGGAGGCAGAGGAGAGTCTCGACAGGGTCAGCAAGGACTTCCATCGCTGCACGAGGCTGCTGGTAGGAGGCAGGACGTCGTGACGGTGCTGGAGGACTGACATGGCGGCAGGTGGTCGTACTGAACAACATCGACGTGTCTATGTAAGGCTGTTTGTTGTCAGTCAGTGACTTTTTGTCGTCTGTGTGTCATGAGATGCGAGGTCGAAGCTCGAGGCTCAGGTGGTCCATGATGAGCTCCAGTGCTGCATCCTTAGGCTGAATCTTCTTCTGTCGCAACCTGAGCCAGCACCATCAGCTCCTTCAGTCATGACAAGTCAACGAGGACGAGTTGACTTCTCGACGACAGTGAACGATTTGACATGTCGACGACTCATCGAGTGAACAAGCGAGCAATTCATCGGGTTTTCTTCACCTTTCAAGTGCTTGTGCGAAGTTGATGTCTCGCAGCCTGATGAGTCCGATCTCTGTCTTGCACCTAAACCAACAGTCACAACATGACTGACAAGCTCGTCAGCGTCACGAACAGCTCAGTAGCGATGGCGCATATCGCATATCGCAGACCGCTATGCTCAGTTGCCTCCAGTCGTCGTATGAGCAGGTCGAGCGATTCCATGAGAGGCCCCGAGGGAGTCTCGACGAGGGCGAGTCGGATGTCCTGCCGTACAGCAAGGTATGCTATCGCTGAGCTGCTTGCGTAGTGGACCTGAGGCAGAAGAGCCGTGAGGACTGAGAGAGGAGGGAGATGGTGTGAGAAAGATGAGATATCTGGATTGAGGACGAGGAAGAGGAGGAAGAGGAGGACGAGGAGGACGAGGAGGACGAGGAGGACGAGGAGGAGGAGGATCAGGATCAGCAGGATCAGCAGAAATAGGATCAGCAGAAGGAGGATCAGCAGAAGGAGGAGATGGTGGTGGTGGTGGTGGTGGTGGTGATTCTACCTCAGCTGAAGGAGAGTTCTTCAGAGCGAGTATGAGTAGCTCTAGTGCCGAGGGCTCTTTGTTGGCAGCATCTGGGTTTGAACGTCACTTCTTACTCATTCTTGTCTTCGTTCTCACCTCCTGGAAAAGTTTTCAAGGGGCTCGACGGGTCGAAGGTCCTCCAGTCTACCAGCGACCAGGCGAACTCGATCTGTCGCTCTGCATTCACGTTGGGGTCGGACTGCCGCCAAGTGTCAGCTACTTGACTTGCTCGTCAGAGGAAGCTATCCCACCGAGACGAGGTTCTTGTCGAGCAGCTTTCTCATGCACCTCCGCACATTCTTCCTGAGTTGTTCGGGGTTGGTGATGATGTTTCTCTGCACAGTCGCGCTCGGCATGCTGCAAGACTTCACTGGTTCAGCTCAATCAGCAAGAACCTCGGCCAAGAGATCAGACGGTAATTATGTAGCACCTCGTCCTCCCTCTTCCTGTCTAACTATCCTTTCCTCCTTTCCTCCTTCCTGCAGTCAGTGGCAGGGCTGTGCAGAGGCTCTCCTGTCCTGAGACTTCAAGGCTTGTACGGTCTCCTGTCCTGTCCTGTCCTGTCCTGTCCTGTCCTGTCCTGTCCTGTCCTGTCCTGTCGCTGTTCTCTCCTACGACTCGGCCATGTTCAACTGCCAACCTCCTACACTACCGTTATCGATCACCGTTACTCCAGATCATGGACCGTTATTCGTGTAACCACTCTGCATCATGTAGTAGGTTTCAAGTTTGGTCCGGGCCCGGCCGGGCCAGTTGGTTGAAAATAACGGTGATGTAACGGTGAGGCTTATTACATGGAGGCCGTCACAATGGAGGCGCAGTAGCGGAGAGGGGAGAAGAGAGCATGCATGAGAGAGCGAGAGCAGGAGCAGGAGCAGGAGCAGTTGAGCAGGAGCAGTTGAGCAGGAGCAGGAGCAGGAGCAGGAGCAGGAGCAGGAGCAGGAGCAGGAGCAGGAGCAGTTGAGCAGGAGCAGGAGCAAGAGCAGTTGAGCAGGAGCAGGAGCAGGAGCAGGAGCAGGAGCTTGAGCAGGAGCAGTTGAGCAGGAGCAGGAGCAGGAGCAGGAGCAGGAGCAGGAGCTTGAGCAGGAGCAGTTGAGCAGGAGCAGGAGCAGTTGAGCAGGAGCAGTTGAGCAGTTGAGCAGGAGCAGTTGAGCAGGAGCAGGAGCAGTTGAGCAGGAGCAGGAGCAGTTGAGCAGGAGCAGTTGAGTAGGAGCAGGACCAGGACCAGGACCAGGAGCAGGAGCAGGAGCAGGAGCAGGAGAGGGATGAGATAATGAGGAGCAGAGACGATGAGTCCGAGGGCTAGTGTGGAGAGGAGGGAGAGGAGAGGGGAGAGGGGAGAAGGAGGGGATAATTGGAAGAAGCCTGGTGACTCCAACATGCGATGATATATGTGAAAGATTTGATGTGAGAAGTGGATTTCATTGTTGATTGAAGATTCGTTCGAGGACAATCTGCAAGCGAGCAGGTTCATGCCTGACATCTTGACGTGCAGACCTGCTAAGGTGCTGAGGATGATGAAGGCAGTTCTCCCGCTGCTTGTCGTCTTCGGCTGCTCCTGCTCGGATGCATTCATTGTCCCAGGTGAGGGTCTCTCGAGTTGGTAGAGCAGACCAGAAGGAGGTGTTTCCTCTCTCTGACATGTCGTTTCCTCCCTGCAGCTTCAGTCTCACTTGCTCGCAAGGGCCTCGGCGTCAGGATGTCAAGTGAGCCGGCAGACCCTCTCGTGATCTAGACGTGATGACTGCCGTAACGGCAGGTGCTTCTCAGCAGGGTGCTGCTCCCTTTGGGACAGTCGAAGACTTACAGCACGTTGTGGACGAGGCGGTAAATCATGAAATGCCTTCCTCCTCTCCCTCGCTGGCTCGCTTCTTCCCTGACTCCCTCCCTCCTTCCCTCCATCACCCCTCCATCTCTGCCTGCCTGCCTCCTTCCCTTCCTCCCTCCCTCCCATCCCTCCCTCCTCTCGCTCTCGCCTCCCTTCCCTCCCTCCTCCTCCCTCCCCACTTCCTTCCTCCTCCCTCCCCACTTCCTTCTCCCTCCCTCCCTCTTCCGCCTCCTCCCTCCCTCCTCTCTCTCCCTCCTCTCTCCCTCTTACACTTGGATCAGGCGAAGGGTCTCAACTGGAAGAAGAAGGTTCACAGATCTATGTCCCTCCCTTCTCTTTATCGCCCAGCATTCAGGTCACCCTCCTTGGCTCCACTGGGTCCATTGGAACTCAGGTGAATTTGGATGTCAAACTTGAATACTTGTAGTGCCATTTCAATATCTGACACGTCAATTCGATGGATCAATTGTTCTTTCAAGTGTTGAAATCTTTGCAAAGTGATGATAGAGACTATGATGGTGAAGGGGATGATAATGATAATGATGACAATAGAGGTTCTGTTGATGATTATGATTGATTGATTTCGAATGTGAGCTGATTGATTTCGAATGTGAGCTGATTGATTTCGAATGTGAGCTGATTGATTTCGAATGTGAGCTGATTGATTTCGAATGTGAGCTGATTGATTTCGAATGTGAGCTGATTGATTTCGAATGTGAGCTGATTGATTTCGAATGTGAGCTGATTGATTTCGAATGTGAGCTGATTGATTTCGAATGTGAGCTGATTGATTTCGAATGTGAGCTGATTGATTTCGTATGTGAGCTGATTGATTTCGAATGAGCTAATCGATTTGAGTTCAGACCCTCGACATCGTGAAGAATGTCCCGGAGAGATTTGAGGTCCAGCAATTGTTGTCGCCTCCGCTCAAATCCCACCTCAACCATCATCTCCTCCTCTTTCCTCCTCTTTCATCCTCCTCCGCCTCCTCCTGCTCCTCCTCCTGCTGCTCCTCCTCCTCCGCCTCCTCCTCCTCCCTCTCCTACTGCTTCTTCCTCATCTTCTCTTAGATCGAAGGCCTGGCTGCTGGAGGAAATGTCGCTCTTCTTGCTCAACAGATCAAGGAGTTCAACCCCAAGGTCCAGTCTACATGCTCCTCCTCCTCCTGCCTTGCTTATCCAGACCCGTCTTGCACATGCTCTCGCAGGTGTGCACGGAACTGTCCGAAAGTGTCAGGA